CTGTCATTAAGTTTGGAAAGTTCTCGGCCATTAATACTTCAATACCCCTAGCTTCTTCCACAATTTCCTCTTTGTTCTCTCTTCTTATTTTGGTATTGCAGTTACATACATGGCACATCTTTTGCAATTGCTCCACAGTCTTGGATAGTCTGGTTTTTTTTTTCCCATTCTTTTCCTCTTTATTTTTGGTTGGGAAAGTTTGTAATGACTGTCTTCGAGCTCACTGATTCTTCCTTGGCTGTGTCCAATTTATTCATGAGCCCACCAAAGTCATTCTTCATTTCTGTTAGTGTTTCTGATTTCTATTATTTCCCTTTGTTTCTTTCTTGGAGTTTCCATCTCTCTGCTTACATTACCCATCTGTTCTTGCATGTTGTTTACTTTTCCATTAGAGCCCTTAACATATTAATCATAGTTTTAAAAAGTTCCCTGTCTTGTAATTCCAACATCTGTGTCATAGCCCCAGTCTGATTCTGGGGATCTTTTTGGGTCCACTGACTTTGAATCTGTAACTTTATGCCTTTCAATACATTTGGGAAATTTTAAGTAATATCTCTTCAAATATTTTTGTCTGCCCCATTCTTTTTCTTCTTACCTGGAGATTACTGTTCCAACCTTAAGTGTCATTCTGGATTTTTGCTATCCATGAGGTTGGCTTGCTTCCTCACTGATGCAGAGTAGGCATGTTATGTTACTTTACCAGTAGTGGGACTGGATTTTCTCTATGCACAGGCTTCCACCTCCATTATTTATTAGAAAATAAGTTGGCAAGAAGCTGGCCATGATTAGTGATTCTGTCTATTGCTAAGGTGCAGAACTAGGCTTACAAATAATTTAGAGTGTGCCCTAATACAGTAGCTACTGGCTGCATGTGGCTATTTAGATGTAAATTAAAATTAAATAAAATTTAAAATTCACATTCTCAGTCACAGTAGCCATATTTCAAGTGCTCACTAGCTATATACAGCTAGTGGCTGCTGTTCTATCATTGCAGAAAATTCAACTAAACAGCACCAACCTATAGGGATCAAGTTATGATTTTGAACCGCTATCATCTGAACCACTTTCTGTACTATAAGACTGACATTGGCCAGGTGTGGTGGCTCATGCCTGTTATCCCAGCACTTTGGGAGGCCAAGGTGGGTGGATCACCTGAGGTCAGGAGTTGAAGATCAGCCTGCCCAACATGGTGAAACCCCATCTCTATGAAAAATACAAAAATTAACCAGGTGTGGTTGTGCACACCTGTAATCCTAGCTACTCAGGAGGCTGAGACAGGAGAATTGCTCAAACCCAGGAGGTAGAGGTTGCAGTGAACTGAGATGGCGCCACTGCACTCCAGCCTGGGCAATGAAGAGAGACTCTGGCTCAAAAAAAAAAAAAAAAAAAGAAGAAGACTTTGAGATAGATAGATAGATATATATATACACACATATATATACACACACACACACACACACATACAATATACATGGGAAATAATAGATGGGAGAATAAGTTAGAGCCAAAAAATAAAAGCCAATTGCTATCAGAGTTTGTTCCTACCACTTTCAGGTGACATGAATTTTTCCCCATGCTTGTTTTATCGCGTTGCATTAAGCTTTCTGTTCATAATTAGGAACGATTCTTTTCATGTTCTCATCTGTGTAGTCAGGACCATCAGCTCTCAAGCAAAGGAAGAGATTCTCTGCTTTGACAGTTCAGTGGAGGGAGCTTGCTGGAATCTAACAGTGCTAGGAGGTCAAGTGAAGCCTGCATTGATAACTTCCCAGCAACTCTCATGTTTTTGCATAGAACAGCCTTACTTTTCTAGGTAAATGAATTCAGACGCGATTACCAGCTAAGACCTGAAATAAATAGGTAAAAAAAGTCTTGATTCTTTTAACAGTGATTTGGAGAACAGATCTATGGCATGTGTGTGTTCTAAGTCTAGCACTTGCATCCTGTGGTTGCTTAAATGGTCTGAAGCCAGAAGTGGGTCAGTTGGAAGTCTTTGAGGGATTTAGTGTTTACATGGGCTGTGAAGGGATTCCTTTCTTCTGGTCCTGGGCTGTCCTCACTGGAGATGTTCCTCACTGTCCTTGGTGGTTGACGACAGTAAAAGAGAACTACAGCAGGTGGAGGAAACTGGTAGTTCCCCTAGCTTCTTTCATAAGACTATGAAATTGTGGTGCTCAGTTATCAGGCACCTCTTATTACTGCCTGTCAGGTGTCCCCGGGTCATGTCTGTCCTCAGTAGCTCATGTGACGTACATGCATTTGGAAATAGACATCATCCCTTCAGTAGCTCTTAGAGGGAGGCACATTACCCCTTATCCAGGGTTTCTGAATTTCAAGCCTCAGTGGTCCACCCTTATCTGGAGAACCATGTGTTTAGCTTGAACAGGACTTGTGCTCAGCACTTCTAATTTGGCAGATGGACCTCACACATAGCTCACTCCCACCTTCTTCATTCATGCTTACAGCTGTGTGAGCTGCATGGTCTCCAGCTACTCCCGGTTGGTGGCCAGCACCCTGGCTCCTGGGTTATTCTATAGTTCAAGAAAATAGGAAGAGACATTTTTAGCAAGTGAGACTAGAAATAGAGAGCAGTGTCTATTGACCAATCCATGTATTGTAGTGGGCAGTGGCTTTCGGTTGGAACAGTGTCCACTGCTGGCCAAAAATCTCTTGTATGTAGTTTACAAATCACTCATGGTACTAACACTGATCTTATGATTAGGCCAGCCCATTCGTGTTCCTGGTAGTAGCACACTTAATTCTAAAGGTATACCTAATGGTTTGTCCTTCAGGTTAGATGCTTTCTAAAGTTCTTATGCCTAGGAAGTTTACCTAAAACCTTTGAGAATCCATTGGCCAAAACTCAGGATCCCTTCCAGTTCTGTGTTTCTCTAGTAGGGAATAGAAATTTCTAAATCATCTTTATCATATAAAATTTCTTTTGAAAGCCATTTTTTTATTACAAAGTTAACGCTCACTCATAGAAAGTATCAAAAATGCCAAAATACCCGAAGAAGAAAATAAAAATCATCTGCCACCTTATCATTCTATGATAATTATTATTAACATAATGCTTTGGAACAGTTTTTCTAAACAGATAATTCTACATCTGTTTCTCTAACTTTACAAAGTTGCAATTGCTTTTATCATTTAACAGAATATCTTGAACATTTCTCTAGGTCATTCTTTTACTGTGAGCTTTATAATTTCCATCTGCACATCAAATATTTGAAGACTAAATTTATTATCACAATGCATTAAAAATGTAGAATATTGTAGAATATTTAATTAAAGTAAATGTAAAAGAAAAATACATTCATCCAGGATCCCAGAGCTCATCTTAAGTTCAAAAACAAAGATTTTAATCTGTGCCAAGAAGATGAAGTTTCTCAAAGGTCAATGTGGGGAACAATTCCATAATTTCAGTTATTGGTATTGAAGGTAGGGAAAGAAGTATGAATAGTCCCCAGGTCCTTAATTTGGGTTAACATCATCCACATAATATAATAACAAATGAGTTGTTTCTAATAACTAAAAACTGAAAGTAATATGGTCCCCAGGAATGATGCTGTCTGTTCTCCACCCACTGGTTGTCTTTTAGAAAGCTCTTAGGAAGGTGTGCAGGACTCTTACAGGTGGGTTTGGGGGTACAAGGGTAGGCCTTGGGGACATGGTGGCAGACAGAGCTGCAGAGCGTGGGCTGGCTGTGGTTCCATGTCATGCTCAGGGACTTCGCTATCCAGCTGCGGAGGGGAATGAGGGCTGTTAGTCTATGGAAGCATCTGCTTGTGATACAACCCTTTCTTAAGAATTTGGCCTGCGCTGAGTGTATCAGGAAGCACATCCATGGAAATGGCACTGCCATGGCATACCGACTGTTATTGAAATCTTTTGCTTTTACTGAAGTCCATCCAACTAGAATCTAGATCTGAGGGAATAAAAACTCCTCTGTTAGGCTTTAGATTTAGTTTAACTCTTGGATGACAAGTGCGTGCATCACAGATCTCGGCAATATTAGCTGGTTTTTGTTGTAGCCTCAGAATTACAAAAGGAAACCTGAGACACGTGGACTTCTGTACCAAAGAGTCAGGCATCCTTTGAGTGGTATTTAAAATATCACAAGACTAAGCATTTAGTTTATTCCCTGTCCCTGTACTTCCTTAAGCTCCCCATCCCTCTACCTCCCTCATTGTTAAAAGGATTTGGAAATGATGCTTTTATATCTCTTTTCTAGGAATTTGTTCATTTAATCTATGTTGTCTAATTTGTGAGTCTAAAGTTTCTCATGATATATTCCTTTTATCTTTTTAATGTCTGTAATGTCTGTACTGACGTTGCCTCTTTGATTCCTGATATTGATAATTCGTGTCTTCTGTCTTTTCTGGGTAAGTCTGGCCAGAGACTTATCTATTTTATTGATATTTTTATTTTTATTTTCTCTGTCTCGCTTTTTTCTGTTTGAAATTTCATCAGTTTCTGCTCGTTATTATTCTCTTCCTTCTCTGCTTGTTTTGGGTTTACTTTGATTTTATTCTTTAATTTCTTAAGGTAGAAACCCAGATTATTGATTTGATAACCTTTTTCTTTTCTAATATAAGTATTTAATGCTGTGAATTTCCCTCTAAGCCCTGCCTTAGGTGAATATCACAAATTATGATATGTTGTGTTTTCATTTACTTCAAAATATTTTCTAATTTGCCTGGTGACTTCTCTTTGATGCAAAAGCCATTTAGAAGTGTTTTCAGATACTTGGCTTGGTGTCTTTTGCTCTAAGAATGGAGCTGTAATGAACTGGAGACTCTTTGAGGAGAAGATATCGGGGTTTATACATGGCAACACGGCAGGTTTTACAGTGAAGTGATACACTGATGCTGGTGTTGCTGTATGAGCTTGAAAACATATCTTCAGCTACTTTGTTACTCTTACATGCTTATGCTAATAGAATCTGAAGGCAAATATTGGGATCCTTCTTAATAACATGTCTTCTTTGGTCTTTTTAGTGTGTTATCATTGGGCAGAACTGGACCCTGAAAAATTCAAGATGCTAAGCACCTACACTACTTTAAGAATTTGGAACTGAAACATGAAGAGGAAGACAGAAATAAGAAGTTGGGAACCTGAATGGCTCTGCAAAAAACACCAAAGGACCGTTTTGTCATTTTCTGTTGTTGCTGTGTGGAATGAGGCAGTGGGCACTGCCGGTGGCTCGGGGGGTGGGTGCGCACGTGGTAGAAGGCATGCACTTGTGCCCCCACAGAAAGGCTGTGTTGGTTTCTGCCACATCTTGGCTTGCTTTTGAAACAGGCTGGCCTAGCGTCATTTGTCATCAAGTCCACTGTGGTGTATTCTGCGTGTCCATGGCAGGGGTTCTCCAACACACTCACACTGTCCATGTTCTTTTTATTGCTGATTCATAAGCCAGAGCCCTTGTTGAAGTGTCAAGAGAGCAATCATCAGTGATAATGTATTGTGTGAGACCTTTGCATCTTGTAAATTTTCTCTTTTTTCTAAAGATAAATAATAATAAAATCCTAAATCTCAACAAACCACTTTATTATCAAACAGATTCTGCTATGTTTCTGCATAACGATGATGTCCATAGAAATGCAGTGTGTCTGACCTCTCTCTGTGCATATCTACACTTCTTTTCAAATAAGCCTCTTGCAAGAGGCCTTCTCTGACTGGCCCACACAGGCTCCTGAGGCCAGGTGGGAGCCTGTCCATCCAGTTTACAATTGACGACATTGTACTTGGAAATGAGACGTCAGGAAAAGGGAGTGTGGGTCAGAAGCGAGTCCAGTTTCAGAATGGCCACAGTGTTCTGAGACCAAGTGTGGAGCCACACCTGGTGTATCCACCTTTGGGAGGTGGAGAAAGGCATGGTGGGTGGTGCAGATACCATTTATCCAGTAGCTACGTGGTTGTCCATGTATCCAAGTCACCACACCCAGCACTCTGGGAAGACAGAATCACATTCTGCCAAAGTAATTTCTCAGTTAAATTTCAGTCTACTGGTGGCACACTCAGAGTAGTCATTTTTTGACATATGATTTAATAGCTTTATATATCTAATAATGCTCACATATATCCTCTCTGGAAAATATTTTTGTATATAGAAGAGATATCCTTATTTGTGAGTTTTATAATGCTGAAACTCTGTCTTCCATGACCTTTATAATAAGTTCTGAATCCATCTAGTCTGACCCAGTCATCTACTTCAAATGATAATATATCAGAAAATGTAGAAAACAAAAAAGCTCAAAACACATCTCTTGGAATATAGAGTTGGAAAAGGGTCTGCCAGATTGCTTTGTTCTAAACCAATTCAGATGGTCCAGTATAATTCACAATGGTTTAAACCTCTAGATTTGAAGTCATTACATCTCAGATGCAGACCCTGGCCAGCTCCCTAAACTGTATGGGCAGTGAGGTCCCAGAAGCTCTGCTGTTTGAGTTATCTAAGCAGGGTTTTACAGAGTGAATTCAAATTCACTTTAAAGCTACTTGAACCTACACGTTGATAAACTCAGTTGTAGGGTTTGGCTTACTGGATAGCTGTCATGTTTCCCCACCAGAGCATTTTATTGCCACCAATTAATGCTTATTGAACAGTTGCAGCCTGTCCTTGTAGTAAGGGGTAATGAAGATTGCATAGAGATACGACCTTTGTCATAGAGATCATGACATTTGGATGGTGGTAAAATGCTAAAGGCCTTTGTTGGTCCCAGCCCAGTTCCTGGCTCCCATTCTAAAGGGACAGAGACAAACCAGAGAGTGAGCACCATGTGGTCATGTTGCTGAAGGATCTGGGAAGGAAGAGCTGAAGGAGCTGGGGCTGTTTCATCTGGGAGGAGAACTCTAAATGTTTGAAAGATGTGGAAGAGAAGCTGGGTCAGGAAAAAAAATAGGAGCAACGGGTGTAAGTTGCATTAACGTAGATTCTGGCATTCTAACAACATGATTCAAAAGTGGAAATTCAAAAGCAGAAATTCTGAGCCTATGTGTGTGAGGGGGCATCTTTGATTAATTAAAACATCGCCGTCACAGTACGCAGGAACATGGTAAAAGAAAACGTTTACTACTTTTGTAAACATTTTGGATTGAAGAGAGCTTTTCCATCATCCTGAAAATCACTTTCAACTCCTGGGATCAGAGAAATAGCAGAGAATACACCAAAGTCTGGCCTAAGAGGGTCAGATCTAACCACAGGGCCAGGTTATAAAGAAAAATGAAAGCTCAAGAAGAAACCCCATAATATCTGCAGCTGCCTTGAAAAGGTGGTTAATTTCCACCCCCATCTACTCTCCTGAAGGTCCTTTCCTAGTTCCTTTGGAACCAATGACTAAAATTAGATTTTGGGTGGCGTTCTTGCGGAGAATAAATCTCTCAGTCTTTACATCTCTCCCAACATCTCTGCCTCCTGCTTTCTGCTTATTTATAAAGCATACTGTTTATTGACCATTAAAACATCATTTGAATGAGGATGGAAGCGGAGAATCATACCATGTATGGCTTTTCTGAGAAGCCTTGGCAGATCACAGACCCAGGACTTTAAACAGAGTGCTTGCCGATAACACTGCATAGCAGGACCCATTTAATCTTGCCTTTCGTGGTTTACTTTATAGGAGACCAAGCTCTTGTGGCTACACAAAACAGACCAAATAAAGGCATCTTTGGGGGCTGGACGTCCATAGCAGCACCTCATGGTTAGTGGTCCCAGGGAGGACATTTTCCCTACCAAGCAGTGTCCTGGCTCAGATGGGTACCAGCTGACATATATGTGGACAATTTGGCGTTTCATTGATTTGATCATAAGGAACAAACAGTTCCACAAACACCCTGTTTCCTTTGATATGATATCATTTGAGTAACTCTAAAGCCAGAGAGGCAGTATTTTCTGTCTCAGGTTTGTCAGATTTTCTGCCGTTTTTCAGCCAGGCACTTTAAGAATTCTTAATTTGTTGTTCATTGTTGATTTGGGTCCTTTAAAAACAGAGTGAAAGAACCTCATCTCAGAAAACATGGAATAAATCAAGAGTAGAGCTCCCCACTGGCTGCCTGAGAAAGGAAGAGGGAAAGCCCTGTTTTGAGGGGAGTCTGTCTTCCGCAGATGACGTTTTCATTCTCTCCTAGGGTACAGACACCAACATATTGAAATTTTAGAGGTTCTAGGAAACAAAACCTTAAATTCCCATTAGGAAAGTATCTTTCAATGACGGTATTTTAGGTTTGTTAAATCTCAATTACTTTGTTAGTTTTGATAATTGCTTAATATTTGTAGGGGCCTTAGAAATAACTTGTTTTTGAATGTTCCCTGAGGGTGGATGAGTTAGAGGCTCCATCACTGAGCAGGAAATACATTAGGGGTGGTCTGTGGAGGACGCCACAGCTGACAGTCCCCTGCAGCAGAGAGACGGTCTTGGACCCAGGCCTTGGTCTGAAACGGTGGCCTCCCAAGGGAGCAGAGTTCGGTAGGAAGAGTTGGCCAGGTGACACTAGGGCAGAGAGGAGGGTCACAAGGTGTGAGAGGTGTGAGAGGTGTGAGAGGAGGGGCGTTCCGACATCTGCTCGCAGGTCAGTAGGACTGGACTTGGGGAGAGAGGGAGCACGTAGAGGAACAGGGACAGAAACAAGACCTCATAGGTGAGCAAGGCCTGGAGCGCAGAGGTCTTTTAAGTCATGATAATGCGTTTAGACTCTATCATGCCCCACTTCTTGTCTTCTCCAGGCTGATTTGTTCTAGTTCTTCAGCAGTTTCTCATGTGATGTGGAGAGCGACCCTGGAGAACGGGATGCAGCTCTGTCACTGTGGTGTGATGAAGGCCTGTGATGTGGGCAGTGGTGGTGTCGTCTCGACAGGCCATGGGGTTGCACGACTTGGGGTCTAATCCTGGCCTTGCTGTTGACCTGCTGCATGGCCTCAGGACAGTTTATTCAATTATTCAGCCTTCTACGCTTCTGTTCCCTCATCTGTCAGAAGGAGGCAGGGCTTGCCACTTGGAGCATGGTCGTAAGGGCTAAAGGAAGAGGAGGCTCAAATTCAGCACAGTGTGAACAGTCCCCATTCCTGTGGCTGCATCATATCTCTGGCTCCCACTGAGCCTGCATGTGCAGGTCACTGAACCTCCAGGTTTATTCCATGTAACCACTGTCCTCCACCACTGAAGAACCAAAAGAAGAACTGATCGTATGCCTGTTGGGCTGGGCCTGTGGTCTGGTCTATTGAAATATTTCCAGTGTCACTTTGGTGATTCTTCTCAGCTTTAAGTCATCCCTGGACATGCTTTCTCTGTCTCTAAGTCTTGGCTAAACACAGTTCACAGGACAGAGCTGGCACTCCATTTGGAATCCTCTTTCAGATCAATAGGTGCATTACTTCAATTCCCATCCAACCTGCATTCCTCCTTCCCATGTTGCCCATTCTTGCTGAAATCAAGCCATGCTATTTTCACAGTATTTTGATGATTAATCCAATGATCCTGTCAAAAACTATTAGTACAGCACAATGCGTTATTTGTGAATTCATTCTGGCTTCCAGTGATCACTGTGTTCTTTTCTACAGGCTCATGAGCCATCTGTTTAATCATCTCTTCTAGAATGATTTTAGGAGCTCACATCTAACTGGGCTGTCTGCAGTGTCTGGGATCCATCTTGTCGAAACTGAGATTTTTTCACATGTTCAGTTTTCTGTCCCCTCTCTTCAGAATTTTTATTTATTTATTTATTTATATTTTCTTAGATGGAGTTTTGATCTTGTTGCCCAGGCTGGAGTGCAGTGGTGTGATTTCAGCTCACTGCAACCTCTGCCTCCCAACTTCAAGTAGTTCTCCTACCTCAGCCTCCCCAGTAGCTGGAATTACAGGCATGCGCCACCATGCCTGGCTAATTTTTTGTAGAGACAGGATTTCTCCATGTTGGTCAGGCTGGTCTCGAACTTCCGACCCCAGGTGATCCACCCGCCTTGGCCTTCCAAAGTGCTGGGACTACAGGTGTAAGCCACTCGCCCGGCCTCTTCAGAATATTTTTAGAAGTTATCAGTGGTAACTATCCCATGTGCACATCTTCAAGTTCTCTCAGAGCTTTTGAAACCTCAGTTCATTCAGAGTCCCTCATAAGGCTATCTCCTCACCTACTGGGCTTCGAGTCCCCTATTATGATGTTTGTTTTGCCTCTTTTGAGTTTGAAACATTTGCTTACAAGAGTAGATAAAATAACTAACTGAATTTGAACCCATAACCATGGCCAGAAGCTAGTCTAAGACCTGTTCCTGTGTCAGCTCTTGTAATCCCCACACCTCTTTCATTATTCCCATTTTACAGTTGAGTAAGTTGAGATAGAGAAATGAAGTGACTGTCAGGAACTGTGAAGGGTCTGGAATCTTACTCTACTAACCAGTAGACAGTTAGTCTGCTGCAGTGTCCTGGGTGCTGGCAGGAGACAGGAGACGCTGGGTCAGGGTCAGGGCTGAGCTTTATTACAGCAACAGCAGGATCTAGTGTCAGCGTTTATGCCAGCTCCCTAACCTTAATTTCAACAGGTGACACCTTCACACACAGTGGGTTGT